GGGTGGGGGGGTGGGGGGGGGGGGGGGGGGGGGGGGGGGGGTGGTGTAGGTTGGGGAGTGGTGGGGTGCGGAATCTCATACAAGCCTATAAAATTCAAGCAGGACTAGACTAGGTAAATGCAGGAAAGATATTCCTGCTGACTGGGGAGTCCAAAACACAGGGGTCTCAGTGTAAGGTTATGGGATAAGCCATTTAGGATTGAGATAAAGAGAAATCTATTCACACAGAGTGCTGAGTCTTTCAAATCATCTGGTCGAGGTCAAAGCATTCAAATATTTTCAAAAAGGATTTTGAATGACCTATTGCCATTCCTATTTTCTGCGTTTGTCATTTTTATGGTAAATGTTATGTTAACAGTTTTAACCGGTAACTAATGTCTTTTTATTTGGTATCTAATTTCATGTTAATTGTAGTTATGGAATATGAATATAAAATCAGAATATGGTGGATTTTAACTTTAAAAATGGCTTGATTATCATAGCTACAGTAAGGTATACATCAGAGAATCTACCTGTATTCATTCCCAACAAAAAAAAATGATGTTTAAATTATTCTGAAATTGAAATAGCTGGACCTTTGCCAAGCAAACAAGCAAAATCAACGGTTCAACAGTATTCGACAGTCTAAATGTTATAGTAAAATGATACATAAAAAAAGTACAAGTGAATACAGAAAACATTCGCAACTGTTTCTAGAAAGCAATTACACATTTCAGTTCTGATACTGAAAAGTATTTGGTTATATGTGGAACAAATTAAAAAAATCAATGTGATTGCTATTAAGAAAATAAGGTTTTTTTTAAAAAAGCAACAGCTTCTCTCTCCACAGACATTGCCAGAATATTTCTAGCAATTAACATTTTTTTCCTGAGACTATTATAAAAACACATTTCCTCAATTACAAATGATATCAAATTAAGAACCACCTTCATTCACTGGCCTTTTACAGAAAAACAAGTAAGGTCATTATCTAGTAAAGTATGCATACATGCCAAAGACCAAAGCTTTTATGAAAAACCTTTAGTTTGCCCCACTAATTCCATATTTCTTCTGTAACTTTTATTGTCTATGCATGTGTTCTGCATTATCAGAGTTTACATAAGCCCAAACAAGGACTGAAGGCATGGAGGTACGATAAGAATGAAAGCCCAAAGCCAGAGATATCTACCATATTATTCTACAGATCAATTAGTATCCATTTTAACACCGGAGAGATTATCTTTTCACATAATCTAAATAAAATGCTGAACCAAGTCCTTTCTCCGCCATATTTTAATTTAGTAATGATTGCTGTTTGATTCACAAAAATTACTGAAGGACACAAAGGCCTTTGAGTTTTGCATTTTTATTCAACAGGTACCTTCTCATGATTGTTTCACAGCGGGGACGATTTATATTGCATAGAATATTTATAAGAGTTATGTTAATGGAAGAATTTTTGCATGTTAATTTTTGGAAAAAATTGCATGCTTGTTAAAAAGAAAAGCTTAAGACATTTACCTTGTTAATTTTAATTTATGCTTTGCATGCTTTAGGAGAAAGCTGAAGGGAGAAGGAGCATATTCAGTATGAATTCTGAACAGATAATTACTCTTCCTTAATTTTTGAAAGCAGTACTAGTTTTGCATTGCTGCTAATCTACAAAAATTACATCAGTTGGTTATTGTATGAAGTCCAAGAAAGAAAGAGAGTGTTAAATAATTCGAATAGTCCAAATTCTTTGCTAGGCTTTAGTTCAACACTATCATTAGCAAAAGGCCTCAACATATAACTTTATAATGATGAGGGCATAGAAGTGAAAATAGTAAACATAATCTGCATTCACTACAAATACTTCCTCACACTTGAACACAACTCCTCTGCAGACAGGTGGTCAGGAAAGCATTTTGCCTTCTTCTAAAGAAGGAGGATATCACAAGTTTTTTGGTTCTTAATTACTTTCATCGACAATTGCTTTTTACAATACTTACTCTAAATTGGCCTCCATTTCCATCATCTAGTTCCAGTATGTAACCTTCTGCTTGAACCAATGAGAGTGGTGGCTGCTTCCAGGACAATGTAGCACTGTTATTGCGAGTACAACATTCCTCCAGCTGCAGAATTGGGGCTGATGGCACTGGAGAGGGAGCTAAGTATAAATGAGTATAACTGGTGCTTCTAGAAAGTTACAATGTACTTTTAGCTTAAAATCTAAATGTGATTTAGTGTTCACCTCTATATATGTTCAATTCAATATGCAGGGACAGTAGCTGGAATTTTCACACTTCATGAAATTGTCCTTTGTTACGAATCTACCTAAAAGCTATGCAAGAAAGTCAAATACTTGTATCCTTCATCCTCTTTTCTCTTGGAAGCACAGCTCATTACCCAAGCCAATTGGTGTAAATCAAAGTACATCAAAACTGCTTTTTATGCTGATCCAAGAGGGTGCTTATGGCACTGTCCCCTCGCAAGGTGATCTCATGTATCTGATGCCAGCTTCAAATATAAATTTACAGGATTTGCTGAAAGAAGTTACCAGGAAGAATCAGGGAACACTGTCTTCCTGATGACTGATCCCAATAAATCAATGAAACTTACACTGGGTTGCTGTTGATGCAATGTAGGAAGCTTAATTTTGACAAATGAATTTTTTATTCATGCTCATATTCTATTCCACAATGCATTACTTCAAAGTGGCAACTAAATTTCCACCTCCTAATGCTGAGAAATTCCTTTTATTTTGGCCTGCAGCTACAATTCTGTTTCCTCCTCTTTAGTGAAGGAGTGTCACTAATGTCAAATCAGCTGCTGCATTAACTTTCAGCATCACGTACAACTTATAACAATTTTATTACCAATCTAAAAAAACCTAACCTATAGGAAACATTTTATTTCATTACAGTTGATAATACAAAAATGTTGGAACTTTTAAGTCTTCGTAACAATGTAAAATGTTTCATCAAGTTTTACGTTTTCATCAAGCTTTGCAAAAGCAAAGATCATTAAATATATTTAAGGCTGTGACAGACAAATTTTTGATCTCTTGGGAAGCTAAAGCATGTCAGGACTGGCAGGAAGTTGGAGTTAAAACCTGAGGTCACCATGACGACATTAAATGGGCAAGAAGGATTGCTAGGCCACATGGCCTACTCATGCTTTTATTACTTGTGTTCTTGTACAGATAGTCATAAAACTAGAAAGACAACTGTGAACTCTGAGCAAACTACAATTAGCAATCTGTAAAAAACTGCTTTATAATCTATTTCATGAAAGAAAAATGCCTTATTACCCTGGAGCAAGATATCCCAAGTTTAGGAGAGCTTGGAAAATTAATTACAGTAGTTTTCAACAGCTGAGAAGCCATGCCAAAGCATAGATAAGACTGCTGAGGTTCTCCAGAGAACAAAAAAAACTAAAAATGGCATTCAATAAGCCAGGCAATTAACAGAGATAACAAGGTGTAGAGCTGGATGAACACAGCAGGCCAAGCAGTATCAGAGGAGCAGGAAAGCTGACGTTTCGGGCCGAGACCCTTCTTCAGAAATGGGGGAGGGGAAGGGGGTTCTGAAATAAATAGGGAGAGAGGGGGAGACGGATAGAAGATGAATAGAGGAGAAGATAGGTGGAGAGGAGACAGACAGGGCAAAGAGGCGGGATGGAGCCAGTAAAGATGAGTGCAGGTGGGGAGTTAGGGAGGAGATAGGTCAGTCCATGGAGGACGGACAGGTGAAGGGGGCGGGATGAGGCGAGCAGGTAGGATATGGGGGTGGGGCTTGAGGTGGGAGGAAGGACAGGTTAGGGAGGCGGGGATGAGCTGGGCTGGTTTTGGGATGCGGTAGGGGGAGGGGAGATTTTGAAGCTTGTGAAGTCCACATTGATACCATTGGGCTGCAGGGTTCCCAAGCGGAATATGAGGTGCTGTTCCTGCAACCTTCGGGCGGCATCGTTGTGGCACTGCAGGAGGCCCAGGATGGACATTTTGTCTGAGGAATGGGAGGGGGAGTTGAAATGGTTCGTGACTGGGAGGTGCAGTTGTTTAGTGTGAACCGAGCGTAGGTGTTCTGCAAAGCGGTCCCCAAGCCTCCACTTGGTTTCCCCAATGTAGGGGAGGCCACAACGGGAACAGCGGATGCAGTATACCACATTAGCAGATGTGCAGTGAACATCTGCTTGATGTGGAAAGTCTTCTTGGGGCCTGGGATGGGGGTGAGGGAGGAGGTGTGGGGGCAGGTGTAGCACTTCCTGCAGATGCAGGGAAAAGTGCTGGGTGTGGTGGGGCTGGAGGGGAGTGTGGAGCGGACGAGGGAGTCACGGAGAGAGTGGTTACTCCGGGAAGCAGATAAGGGTGGGGAGGGAAAAATGTCTTTGGTGGTGGGGTCGGATTGCAGATGGCGGAAGCGTCGGAGGATGATGCGTTGGATCTGGAGGTTGGTGGGGTGGTACGTGAGGACGAGGGGGATTCTGTTTTGGTTGTTATTGTGGGGTGGGGGTGTGAGGGATGAGTTGCAGGAAATGCGGGAGACACGTTCGAGGGCGTTCTCAACCACTGAGGGGGGGATGTTGTGGTCCTTGAAAAACAAGGACATCTGAGATGTACGGGAGTGGAACGTCTCATCCTGGGAGCAGATGCAATGGAGGCGAAGGAATTGGGAATAGGCGATGGCATTTTTGCAGGAAGGTGGGTGGGAGGAGGTGTATTCTAGGTAGCTGTGGGAGTCGGTGGGCTTGAAA